GATGCCCCCTGCAAGCAATCAGAGGGAGTTTGCTTCTTATCGTGACAAGAATAAATGATAGTATCATCAGCGAACAATGCCACCTTAGATGTGAGAATATCTGGAAGATCGTTAATGTAAATTAAAAAGAGTATAGAGCCAAGGATTGAACCTTGAGGAACCCCTGAGGTTACAGAATAAGAAGAGTGCTGTCCATTAAGGACAACTTTTATACTATGATTGGAAAGGAAGGATTCAATAATCTTAAAGATGTTTCCAGATACACCGTAAGAAGAAAGCTTATGGAGGAAACCAGCATGCCAAACTTTATCAAACGCTTTAGAAATGTCAAGAGCAATGGCCTTAACCTCTCCACCTTTATCTAATGCACGATAAAACCTATCGGTTATTACTGATAGCAAATCAGCCATAGAACGAGAAGATTGAAATCCATATTGATGATCAGAAAGTAGGCTATGAGATTAGAGATGAGAGATTGAGTGTTTGTTAATTAAAGATTCAGAAATATAACATATATGCGTTTCAAAATATGTATATAACAAGATCTAACATGATCCACTAGTTTTAGTATTTTGTACCTAAAAAATTTCCTTAAATTTTTAAAAAAAAGTTCATTCAAAATTTTTATAACTTAATTGTTTGCTTACTTGTTTGAATCCAGCAACTTTTAAAATGCAATTCAAAGTTAGGATACCTTAAATATTGCGCATTAAAATAGGTTTTAATATGCAATATTTAAGGTATTGTTAATTTGATATCATAGAATTTAATTAAACAAGTTTTTATACATATTTTTTCTTTTACAAAATTTTAATATCGTCCCACTTTAACAATGAAATTCATATATATATATATATATATATATATATTATATATATATATATATATATATATATATATATATATATATATATATATATATATATATATATATATATATATATTTATATATATATATTTATATATATATATATATATATATATATATAAATATATATATATATATATATATATATATATATATATATATATATATATATATATATATATATATATATATATATATATATATATATATATATATATATATATATATATATATATATATATATATATATATATATATATATATATATATATATATATATATATATATATATATATATATGTCATTGCCCTGCAGAAATATCCATCCTCAAGGCATTTTGTTTTTAGCATGTGGTAGCATAACATCTTTAATGATATTTTTGTACATGATTTTGTCCATTATACTATTAATCAAATGGATAGGACTGATACAATCTTTAATTAAACAACCCTAAACTACAATCTTTCCACCTCCATGCTTTATTGTTGGTATCTGGTATTTATGATCGTTTCAATGACCTTTTGATTGACAATCATGTCTAATACCATCAGATCCAAATAACATAAACTTAAATTTATCACTAAAAAGTACTTTTGACCATTGTTCTCTTGCTTAATTCATTAGCAAATCTCAAGCGTGCTTTTTAATTTTTTATAGAAATAAAAGATTTCTTTGCAACCTCAAACAATGCTTAGTTGTGTCAACACTACATTTTACATTATAAAATTGTTTCATTTTAGCATTTAACAAGACAGCAATTTAGCTTGGATCAATTTGAGACCTTCCGGACTTTTTATTCAATTTTAATAGAGATTCTATTATTATTTCTTTCCTTATATCTTTTATATATATCTGCAACTGTTGATTTTATAAATATCGAAACTGTTGATTTTACCTATATCGAACTGATCTGCTATATCTCTTGTAGTTCTATCTTGTTCAATTACTTACAATACCACTTGTTTGACAACTAAACATGTATACTTTCACTTTGTATATACAGGGCTCAATTTATTGGTTGGACATCGGACATAGTTGACATCGGACTAAAACCTTTGATTGTCCGATAAATTTGCAAATTAGTCAGACATTTTGACCAACGGGAATTAAGTTTAACAAAATAAAGCTTGGACAAGAATGGCATGCAATCCAACGCCATTACTGACCATGCAAATGATTTTTTTTGTTACAACTTGACCACAACTGTTTAGATGTTTTGATGATTTAAATGTTTCAGAAATGCGCTAAAAAATGAAATGTTAAGCTTAACTTAAACTTGGAAAAAAAATGAAAAAACTAAAAGAATAAGCAAAACAATTCCTTACAAAAAAGAAAATAAATTAGCTTTAAAATAAAACTAAAAAACTCGAAGATTAGTTTTTGTTACCTTTTTTAATTGCTTTTGAAAAAAATTACTTTAAAAATTTAAAAACATTTAATTAAAGTTACGCTAAAGGCTTTTACAAATTGCTTGTTTAATAAATAAACAAATTTTATTTAAATTATTAAAAAGTGAAATTAATATATTGAAAAAAAAAAAAAAATTTTTTTTTTTTGTTGTCTAAACATTTTTTTCAAAAAGTTGAAAAAAAAATTGTTAAAAAAAATAACGTAGTCTTTTTAAAATCGCAA